TGTTAATTCTTTTGGTTCTTTGTTGAGTTTCTGATTTGTGGTCCTGTCTAGTGTTGAGAGTGGTGTATTGAAGTCTCCCACTATAAGTGTGTGAGGTTTTATATGAGCTTTGAGTTTTAGTAGTGTTTCTTTTACGAATGTGGGTAACTTTGTATTAGATGTTCAGAAGTGAGACTTTGTGTTGATGGATTTCTCCTGCGATGAATATGAAATGACCGTCTTCATCTCTTTTGACTAATTTTGGTTTGAAATCTAACTTGTTAGATATTAGGATAGCTACGCCTGATTGCTTCTTATTTCCATTTGATTGGAAAATCTTTTCCCAACCCTTTACTCTGAGGTTATGTCTATCTTTGAAGCTGTGTTTCTTGTATGCAGCAGAAGGATGGCTTCTGTCTTCGTATCCATTCTGTTAGCCTGTGTCTTTTTATAGGTGAGTTAAGACCATTAATGTTGAGGGTGAGTAAGGACCATTGATTGTTGATGCTTGTTTGATTTAGGTTTGTTGTTGGCAGTGGTATTGTGAATATATTTGTTCTGCTTCACCCTTGGTTTATGGTGTAGTTGGATTATCTGTTGCCTACATTTTTGTGGGCGTAGTTACCTTCCTTGGGTTGGAGTTTTCCTTCCAATACTTTCTGTAGGGCTGGATTTGTAGATACATATTGGGAAAATCTGGTTTTGTCATTAAATATCTTGTTCTCTCCATCTATAGTGATTGAGAGTTTTGCTGGATATAGTAGCCTAGGCTGGCATCTGTGTTGTCTTAATACTTTTAGAACATCTATCCAGGACCTTCTGGCCTTGAGGGTTTCCATGGAGAAGTCAGGTGTAATTTTGATAGGTCTGCCTTTATATGTTACCTGTCCTTTTTCCTTCGCTGCTCTTAATATTCTTTCTTTATTCTGTATGCTAGGTGTTTTGATTATTATATGTCGAGGGGTCTTTTTTCTTTGGTCCAGCCTATTTGGGGTTCGATATGCTTCTTGTACTTTCATGGGCATGTCCTTCTTCTGATTTGGAAAGTTTTCCTCGATGATTTTGTTGAATATGTTTTCAGCACCTTTGAGCTGGGCTTCTTCACCTTCGTCTATGCCTATTATTCTTAGGTTTGACCTTTTCATGGTGTCCCACATTTCCTGGATGTTTTGTGTTAAGGATTTGTTGGATTTATGATTTTCTTTGGTTGATGAATCTATTTCTTCTAGTTTATCTTCTGCGCCTGAGATTCTCTCTTCCATCTCTTGAATTCTATTGGTTATGCTTGTGTCCGTAGTTGCCGATTTTTTGCCCAGCTTTTCAATTTCCAGCATTCCTTCCGTTTGTGTTGCCTTTATTTTCTCAGTTTCAGTTTTCAAGTCTTGAACTGTTTCCTTCACCTGGTTAATTGTTTTTTCTTGGCTTTCTGTACTTCCCTTAAGGAATTTGTTCATTTCTTCCACTTTTTTGTTTGTTTTTTCCTCCATTTCTTTAAGGGATTTTCTCACATCTTCTTTGAGGGCCTCTATCATTTTTATGATGGTAATTTTTAAGTCGTACCCTTCTGCTTCCTCTGCTTTGTTGTTTTGTTCCATTCTAGTTGGTGTAGATTCCCTACATTCTGGTGGTGTCATGCTTGTCTTTCTGTTGTTAGGTGTTCTCTTGTATTGCCTTCTTCCCATAGCTTCTTCCAGTAGGTGTTGGTGGGGTCTCCCCCTCTCTCTATGGTACTTCCCCGATTGGCTTATGTGGGTCTGAGATTCAATATCTGTAGCTCTGTGTGGTCCAAGCTCTCTAGGAGGTTTCTCCGCAGACAGGGATCCAGGGATGGAGTCAAGGATGAGGATCCAGAAGAAGATGCCAGCAGGTACTCACAGTGGTCCTCTGGCCAATAGCTCTGGTCAATAGCTGGCAGAAGAGGGCAAGGGCTGTGCTGGAACTTGAGAAGGTTTTGCAGGATAGTGGGATCTCACTAGAAACTGGTGCTCTCCAGCTGAGACCTCGTTCTTTGGCAGAGGCCAGGATTTTGGGGTCAAGGATCTTGCCCGCAGGAACTCTGAGTGGACCCGCAGAGCTAGGCGGATCTCTGGGAGGGGCCCGGGACTCCAGCAGAGGACTGGAGGTGGGGTCAGAGACCAAGCCGGTGGAAATTACGGGTGGTCCCGCGTGGGTAGTCATGTCTCTTTGTTCAGAGTTGCTCTGAGATGTCTCCGAAGTAGGGTGGACTGTTGGCTCCACTCTCTGTCCCAGTGCTCAACCAGAGTGGCAGGACCGTGGCTGGAGTAGGGCACAGGGTGGGGGGGGGGGTAGGCTGGCAGTGGGGATGGGTGGGGGTGTATCAGAGCTCCAAGGGTGCTCTCGATGGGGACCGGAGACAGGAGCAGCAGGATCAGGAGCCAACCCAGGGAGTTCCCATATTTTTATTCTTTCATCCACATCATTTGCATGGAGCCTGGAATATTGTAGATGCTCATAATATTTGCTCAATCAATCAAGTATGTATTTGTTATTCATTATTGTTATTATAGTATTTAACCCATTCAGTACATATCTACTGCATTCATTTAGAGTTGTATTTTGAGGTTTTTGTATTTTCCAAATATCTCTCTGTGTGTGTGTGTGTGTGTGTGTGTGTGTGTGTGTGTGTGTGTGTATTAAGTGTTTACTGCATGTATGCATGTGTACCAGATTGTGCCTGGTACCTAAGGTCAGAAGTGGACATCAGAGCCTCTGGAACTGGAGATACAGACATTGGTAAATCGCCATGTGGGAACCAAACCTGGGTTCTGGGCAAAAGCAACAATTTCTCTTAACCTGTGGCTGCCCTCTCCAGTTCCAAGCGTAGTATTTTTGAGCAGTGGTACAAAAACCAGAAAACCCTGGTTGAGGCATTAAAGCAAGACTTTGAGGTCAGATCATTTTCTTTTCTCCTGTCTTCTAGGACAAAAGTTAGAATTTCTAGTAGGCAGTTGTAAATATGATTCTAGGTGGACATAAAATGGAGATAGACACAGTTGTTAAGATTCAGCTTCTAGGGGCTGGAGAGATGGCTCAACCATTTAGAGAACATATTGCTCCTGGAAAAAAACCTGAGTTCAGTTCCCATCACATTGGGCAGCTCACAACTGCCTATAACTTCAGTTCCAGGGGAATCCAATGCCTTTGGCCTCCATGGGCACCTGCACTCATGTGTACCTACCCACACACAGGCACATAAGTACACACAAATTTGTTTTTTATTTTATTTATTTATTTTATTTTATTTTACAAAAAGAGTCAGATTCTGGGCTTAGAGGGTAAGGGTGCCTGCCACCAAGCCTAACCATTTGAGTTGGAGTGGATCCTTAGGACCCACATGTGAAAGGACAGACTGATTCCTACAAGTTGTCCTCTGACCTCCACACACATTAATTAAACATAAATCCGTGCCTTAGAAGTAGATTAAGTTCTCCAAAGGTGAGAAAAAACCATGGGTGATAAACCTGGAGTACCTACAGGGATCAATCAGGGGAGGAGATTCTCTGAGGAGGGAAAAGTTAATGTTAGATGAATTTATCCAATTATCTTCATTATCTGTATCCACTCCTTTACTAAGCCTATATTTTGTGTTGTGAGATTTGTTTGTTTGTTTTTTTAATTTATTTATTTCTGCCTGCATATATGCCTGCACACCAGAAGAGGGCACCAGATCTCATTATAGACAGTTGTGAGCCACCATGTGGTTGCTGGAAATTAAACTTGTAACCTCTGGAAGAGCAGCCAGTGCTCTTAATCTATGAGCCATCTCTCTACAACCCCCTCCATTAAAACTTGTTTCTTTAATTTTATTTTAGAGTGCTCTGCATCTCTATCTGCATGTCAGAAGAGGGCATCAGATCCTATTATAGATGGTTGTGAGCCACCATGTGGGTTCTGGGAATTTTGAACTCAGGACCTCTGGAAGACCAGCTCTTAACCTGTGTTGTGGTTTTAATTAGCACAGTAGTAGTTAGGAAGATGTTATAAAGCATTCTATTTTTTTAATGTATGAGAATGTATAAAGAGTTCCATTTTTTAAATAATCCACTTTAATAAAAAGCTTTATTTTATGTGCATGAGTGTTTTATCTGTTGTGTACCATGTGCATGCAGTACCTCTGGAGGCCAGAAGAGGGAGTTCGATCCCTGGAGCTGGAGTTAAAGACGGTTGTGAGTCATCATGTGGGTACTGGAAATTGAATCCATACTTTATTCAAGAACAGCAAATGCTCTTAACTGCTGATCAACCACTCCAGTCACCAAGATTCCTTTTTTTTTTTTTTTTTTTTTTTTTTTTTTTAAAGAACATAACTCAAGGTTGGGATATCGTCAATCCAAAGGACAAGGTTTTCTTGTCTGTGGATTGCCTTGTTTTTCTGAGATTTGGTCGCACAATGTAACTCATCATGACCCACATTTTTGATCCTCCTGCCTCAGCCTCGAACGTGCTGGGACTGAAGAAGTCAAGTTTGTTTCTAAAAACGTCCCCCTCCGTTCTTCCAAGTAGTCCCACATTGCGACCTAACACAGAGGCTAATCCCTGTTCATAGCACTTAAAACTCAGCTCTGGCTAGAAGACATCAGAGGAAACCCCTTAGAGACCTCTTCCTGAGTTACCAAGACAGGAAAGAATGGCTGCCATCTTAGCCAATGGACGAAGCAGGAGAAGAGCCGTTGTAAACAAACCGGGGTTTGCTGAGCTCGGGCTCCTCCCCTACGTGGGGATGATTCGTCCTTGGGCTGAAATATAGGTGTGGCCAGTGCTTCCTCAACCAATCAGAACTGGTGGTCTCCAGAAAGGGCGGAGCGAATGGACAGATGTTAAGACCAATCACAAGCTGGAGCTTCTGAAAGATGTGGGCGACACCAATCAAAACCAGGTAAGTGAGCGGCATTCTCTGCTGTCCAATAGGTGGATGGGGCGGTGTCCAGTAGCCAATGACTGACTCCAGGGGGCAGGGCGAGACGCGTGTTTGCGGCCGAGGTTTGTGCGCCGTGGCTCTGGCTGAGGAGGCGGCGCTGTACTGTGGTGTGGACCTCGGGGCGGCGTTGTCCGCGCTGCCAGGTGGGTTCGGGCGTCGAGGCTAGACCCTCGGGTTGTCCGGGGATGCGCACAGCCCCGCTCCTTTTGGGCCGCTCGGGAGCGCGCAAAGCCCCCTCTCTCTCCCCGCGGGCTGTCCGAGAATGCGCAAAGCCCCTTTCCCGGCTTGGTCCCGGCCCAGGCTGTCCGATGCTCTGGCGCTAGCTGGCCAGCTTGTCTCATCCTCTTTCACCATCCTTGCTGTGACCTGCCGACTCTCGCCGCGCCTCCTCTCTCCTGCCTTCCGCGACTGTCCCCCTCAACCTCGAGATTTTAGGCTCTTTTCCCCTGGAAACTAACATCTCACTTTACTTCTTTTAGGTACCTGAAAGGGTGAAGGCGAGAGAGGCAGATGACGACGCTGAACACAGGCTCTGCAAGGTTCGGAACTGGAATGGGCTTGCTTAAACTATTTCTGCTTCCCTCCTCTTTCTTTACATGCTATTTGATCACTCTCCTCTTCTAGAATCTTTGTCCCCAGAAAGTCCTTTTGCTCAAAACTGCTGAAAGTGAAAGGCTTCCCAGCAGCAACCAATTTGAAATCTTACGTGGATGGAGCTGGATCCTATTTGTTCTATTTGACAGAGCTAGCCAAAGCTTGAATTACTGTGTAAGGAAGGGCCTGAGCATCCCGTACAGCTGTGAGACATAAGTGATTATTACACACAACCTCTGAGTGAATTGCAACAGCTCAGAGACAACCTACAGCATTGTCTTTTTACAGATGATCTGTTTATACCTTAAAAGTATGGCAGTGTTTGGCATCCTGTAGCAGTGGTAGTAGCAGTTCTAACCACATGTTTCTAAGTAGTCATTTACACTGTCTCATACCCAGATAAAATTATGCCAGACATTTACTGGAAAGAAATGAGCTCATCAATCGTAATTTTGACTAAGGTTTAGAAGTTGAAGGCTACTGGACAGTGAGGATTTTATTTTGGAGGCAAGAGGAAATTGAGTATTGGAATAAGAATCTGGTACCTTGGGCAGAGAGGGAGACATAATTAGAATATATATGTGTACAAAACTGCACTATTCTCATGTTATTTTCATGACTATATCTCTGGGGCTATTTTTCTTAGTTCTCAAAAGAGAACAGTAAGCTGTAAATTTAGCATCAGATTCACTATGTTTTGGAGTTTGTAATCTTTTGTGAAAAAGCTTTACTGTTTTTATCTCGATTGTAGCCAGATAAGTTTAATATAGGTCCTTGTGCTTTGCTGTGGTAAGATTTTAGTTTTAATACAGAAAGAAATAAGTCTGTTTGTTTTTCATAGGCCATATGTTTGAGCCTTATCGAATCACACTGGAAAGAGCAGGATTTTAAGACTGTTGTAATTTATGTCGACTATAACAGTTCTAAAAGTCACAGGCAAAATGCACATCTCTGAGTTGGTCACTATTATAAACTGCTGTCAGTTTGCAGTTGAAAACCAAGTGTATGTATCATGTGTTTGGATGAATCTGTACATGGTGATTGCTTATTTAGAGATTTGGGTGGTAGGTGGTAGCTTTTGCTTCCTTTCCAAAGATCTGACCTTGATCATAGAGTTTAGTAGAGAGACCTGTAAATCAAGGCTTAAATGCATAGAGTGTTCTGCAGTTCAGGGTGTGGAACAAGGGAGACACTCCATTCCTCCGTATTCCATCCTCATCTTTTATTGCTCTAGACTCCCTGAAGTGCATTTCCTTAACCTACCTAACCCATGTAGATTATAATCTTAAATCTTGAAAACCATTTATCCTGCTAGATTTTCCCTATATTTTTACATAATGGAATGATTTTCTAAAAGTATGATTTGCTCACTAACAGGTGCCAAAGTTAAAACTCAAACTCTGTCAATTTAACCCCAAAGCTAGAGTTTATAGCACAAAACTACACTCTACTGCCTTTGTCTTCTGGCCTCTTTGTGAGCACCAACCAAGAAGGTCCAAATTTGCCTTACTTACCTTAGTTTGGGACAAACACAAAGAATCGGCATATACTGCTATCTACATATCCATGTGTATGACTTAGTCTTCTTTTTGTGGCAAGTACCTGACAAGCAGCTTAAAGAAAGAAGGATTTGTTCTGGCTCACAGATTGAGGGGTACAGTCTGTCATAGCAGCTGGAGCTGGAAGGAGCTGGTACCATTGCATCCACAGTAAGCAGAGATGAATTCTCAGCTCACTTTTTTTTTTCTTCCTTAGTTTGGGATGCTGCTGTTCACATTCAGATTGTTCACTTTCTATGATGATAATAAGTCTAGTCAAGATAACAATGAAAATGGACCATCACACCATAACATCAAAGGGAGCACCGAATTAGTTTGGAGATTACATGCAAATTTTAACAAGTAAAAAGATTTACAGATAGAATTGTATTGTGAATGATCCCTAGTCTTTATTTCATGGTATTCCCTTCCTCCACATCCATCTAAAATGATCCTTTGGTATACTGGGAAATTTGCTCACTTATTTATTCATTCAACAAGTACTTATTAAACTGTACTCTACTTTAGATGATAGCAAATGAGCTATAGATTAAGGTCCTGCCTGGCCTCTGGGTCTTGTATTTGAGTTAGCAAAATAAGCAAAATAAGGCTTTCATAGGTTGAAATTGGAGATTATCTTATCTGGTTGGACACCAAGTGTACTCTTTCCTGCTTCAAAGCCCAAGAGAACTTTCAGATCACTTCTACTCTTTCATATTTTTTAGCCTTTCTCCAGTAACCTGTATCTGTGTGTTCCTGCGGATGGGGGTGGGAGAAGGCGATATATATGTGTGCCTGTGATTATGAAGACCAGAGGTCAATCTCAGGTATTCCTTAGGACCTGGCCTCCTTTGTGTGCATGTGGAGGAAGTGTAGGATCTCTTGCCAGCCTGAAACTCACCAATTACACTAGGTAGGCTTGCCAGCATTTGCCAGGGATTTGCCCAACTGCCCTGGCAGGGCTGGTACTACAAGATTACACCACCATGCTTACCTTTTTTAGGTGGGTTCTGGGGACCAATATCAGGTCTTTATATTTCTAAGACAAGTACTTTACTAACTAAGCCACCTCCTCATTTGTGGGTTATAGTGCTGACCTGTTCTTTGAAATCTGGATTTGTAATATACTAAATGAATAGCTGTGGTACAACTTGGACTTTTGAACTGTGTCCTAATTTCAAGATTGATTTACATTTCAAGGGAGAGGCATATCCATTGTCTGTGGTGATGAGGGATGAATGTAAAAGAGAATGGGAAATCATTTCAGCATTCATATTGTCTCGACTTCAGTGCTTTCAAGACCATATAGATTAGTGGTTCTCAGCTTTCCTAATGCTGTGACTCTTAGTACAGTTCCTCATGTTGTTGTGACTCCCAACCATAAAATTGTTTTTGTTGGTACTTCAAAACTGAAACATTGCTATTGTTATGGATCTTAATATAAAATTCTGATATGCAGAATATCCGATATGTGACCTCTGTGACAAGAGTTATTTGACCTCCTAAGGGGTTGTGACCCACAGGTTTAGAACCACTGATATAGAGCAACAACTTGGCAATATTTAAGATACTATTTCAGTCCTGGATACCCACCCTCTCATGCTTTGTCCACCCAACTTTTTTTCCCCCAAAGGAAACTACCTGGTCTTTCATCTTCTAAAATGGAAGAGTCCTATTGGACAGAATTTTGAGTCAAGCAAGGTTCTTGGTTCTTTTATGTATTCTTTAGCTGTGGTACTTGTAGACAAAAGGTGTTGGTTTCATGTGTTATCTGTCTCGAAAACCAGTATATTTGGATAGGATTCTGGAGACAGTTACTTTTCTTCAGAGGGTAACTGAGGGGTCCTAGGATTTTGTGGGCTTAATCTTTAGACACTATCTTACATGATAATAGGTACTGTCAGATAAAGCATCTAGCAGAATGGGTGACAAATATTCAATACCTCTTCCTCCTGGTGCTGCATCTAGTTGTATTGTGGTAGAACTACTTGTTCATATGGCTCTCTTTCCTTGCTACACACTGTGAACTCCATGATAGCAGGTTCCACAGTTTCATCCTTCTGTCCTTGATGCTTGGTTGATAACCTGATACATGGCGACTGTTGCACAGGTATCTGATCTGGGAACTTCTCAATTCCTCCTGAAAGGGAGGAGGTGGGGAACAGGGTTACAGGCTTCCTAAAGAAGGCATTATATAAGTTGATTCACACACACACACACACACACACACACACACACACACACATTCAGCCACCTCTCCCAGTCTTTTCTTCTTCAGTTCATAGACCATTATTCTTCTTTGCTACTTCACAGAGTACCACAGTTTATGTGGCTATTTCCCTTTGATGGATACCATTACACTATTATAAACAGTTCATGCTCATATACCCTAAAGAAGCCTCTGGAATAGTTCAGACTAGATCCCCAACTGATTACATGTTTACTCCACTAAAAGTTAGCCCCATTCCTAATTCTTATTATATAGAAACATGAAGCAAGACTTCTTTGGACAAAGCTTGTGTACACTTAAGGAATATATATGTATCTCATCAAAATGACTAAACAACAAAGATTTACCCATTTCTATTTTTAAAATACATATATCTGTATGTATACACATGAACATACACAGCAAGTATAAAATAATTACTGAGGGAGGTGAATATGTAGTGCTCTGTAGACACCATCATTTTGTCTATCCTAATTTTTTGTGCTTAACAATTTTTATAACAGTATGCTAGTTATAAACTATAAAATTTTAATTGAAAATACCAATTCAAGTAAAGTAGGACCCACTCCTCCTATCTGTATGTCTGTATGGTGCCTCTCTGTGCTCAAAGAGCACTTCTTAGACAATGCCCCTCAGCAACGGACATGTCACTAATTACTCCTTTCCTTTAATTTAGACTGCATTTTACTCGTATCTCTTATTTCACATTACATGGCAAATATTTCTTCGTCTATCTGTCTCTTTGATGGCTTGTAAGCTCTGTGTGTGTATTTCATTATATTCTCAGCACTTATAGTGTGTGATACATGGGAGTTTCATAGGTAGTTAAGTATCATAGGTAGTTAAGTAAACATTACCATCATTACCATGTTACACACTGCAGAATTTAATGCCTGCATTAGTAAATTGTCATAGACTCCTCAGCCCCAACCAGAGAGTTTTACATTCTCCCCCTAAAACTTATAGTTTTTGCAGTCATGGTTAATTCATCGTACTGTGCCCTCTGGCCAAGCCTTTTGCAGGTTTTTTGTTTGTTTGTTTGTTTGTTTTTGTTTTTTTCCTTTCTTGAGTATATTTTCATTGTTTACTTTTTATTTTTATTGTTATTTTTTTCAATCTACCAGGCATGCTCAGGAAACTTCATCATCTTTTCATATCTGTACCTGCTAGTCTCCTT